CCGGCGGCTGCACGGGCGGACACGGACACGGACACGGACAGTGACACGGACACGGACACGGACAGTGACACGGACACGGACACGGACACGGACACGGACACGGACGCCTCCCAAAAGAGCCGACGCATTCCCAAACAACTACCGCTCGACGTCACAAAGCCCAGAATAACGTCACTGGACGTCAGCCCGAGACGTCATCGTGACGAGGTAAACAAACGGGGAGCACACATCAGCAGCAGCTGGCGCATGCATGTCCATCGTTTATTTGCAATTACGAAATGTGAACTGGCGAGCACATTAAGTACCCAACCAAAGCAAATATCGGCACAGTAAGTGGGTATGTCTGCAAAATCAAAACAAACTGTGAACGCTGGAGAATGTTGTGCATTTCCTCTTAATCGACCCGCCTGCCCTTATCTTCTTTAGAATTGCCGCGAGGGTAGCCAAGTCTGACCCTATCGCAATTCTTATATTTGTTACAGGGAGTATGCGATTTCAGTTAGTTTGCAACGACCCTAGGGTGGTTGTAACCTCCCTGGACGATCAGTTTGTTTGCAACGACCCTAGGGACGTTACAAAATAACTGCTCGTTCCGCGGCGTTGTAACGAAACTAGGGTCGTTGCAACCTCCCTAGTTAGTATGCAACGAACCTAGGGTTGTTACAAAATAACTAGGGAGTTTAAGAATTCATCGAGTCTCATTTCACATGAGGGCCGTCAGCAATCTTGTCCATTGAAAATCTTGTTCAATCTAGTTCATTTAAAAAGAAAAGAAGAACAAAATTTGAACATTCAGCTCAGGAGTATTTCACGACGGCCATCTAGTACACATTTTGTGCAGATTAGGTGCACATTTGGTGCAAATTTGTTCAAATTAGATGGGCATTTGCCAGGAAGCCCTTCGTAAAAACGGTTATTATCCGCTCGTTTCCAGTCTTTTTGTGATTGTTAACGTTCAAACATGTGAAATGATGATAATCCCATGCATTATAGTGGGTGTCAAGGTCACGTGAAGGTCAGGTCAAGGTCATTGACCTTTGATGACCTTAGTTCACTTCTTCTGGGTTCATATATTCTGTAGGCTAGTTTTTGGAGCTGATTTCGCATTTAGCACCCATTTGAACATTTAAGAAGTAATTTTGGCGCCTTCGTACCATGTCACGAGGCTGTCAGTGGTGGTTGACACCTACTATGGACAGCTAGCAAGACGCCTACTGGTTGACCTGACCTGACCTGACCCGACCTGACCCAAAAACATCAAGACATCATCGGTGATCAAAGCTAACATGAAATTCGTGATCAGCGCACCGAAAAACCTCGTAACAAGCTAACTCTCCAAAGTTTTAACAGGTCCCGATTTTCCCGACTTCTGAGTCACTGACCTGACCTGGAAAGTCAACCAATAACCTAGCCCCGCCATGTGCGTTTGCAGCTAGCAAAACACCAATAAGGGCGAGAGTTAACCCTCGCCCGCACATGCCATTTTCCCATCCTAGAACCACATGGGGGGGGGGGGGGGGTTGCCACTCCCCGCGCCATTTCGTTCCTGTTGGAGATAGAGCTTCGCGGTAAAGACCAAAACGATTCTTTCATGGGAAGAAACGAATCCAATTATACCCAGTTTTACCTTCTCAGGTCAGTCATTGACCTTCCAGGTCAGGTCAAACTAAAAAATGTTGCTGTTTTGGGTCACCGTTGGATATCAAGTGCGCTGCTTATCATATAGCGATGACGATGCCGTTTTCTGGTGCCCAGCTAGCTAGAACCTCTTTGTCACACTACCCGACCAGATTTTTGCTGCTGAGGTCATTTCAGGTCAAGTTAGGTCGAGGTCAATGATATGTGTTTGTATGTCTGTGTGTGTCTGTGTGTATAATGATGTGTGCACCGATTGTTTGTGTTCCTATTACATGAAATCATGATCTGAGAAGCTTTCACCAAGAATGCAGTCAAAAAACTTCACGAAAAGTAAATTCAGCTTGCCTAAAACGCAATTATTTTATATGACCTAGGTTGACCTTAACCCTGACCTTGACATCTGTACATCGTCGAACAACATGTTCCATGATAGGTGGGAGGTAAGACTGGCAAAAAAGGCCGAAATCAAGGTGTCAAAAGCTCACAAGGCCCATAGCCAACGCAAGATGTTGAGAATTGGCCATTTGGGTCATGACATGGCCTGAAAAACAAGGTCATATCTCCGAAACCAAAAACCACAAAAACTTGAATTTTTTAGTGAACATCTAGAAAGGATAGAGGAGCAGCTATACTAAAAATCAGGCTTCTAGCTCTAAAAATGTTGAGTGCAGAGCAGAAAGACTACCTGGGGGAGTGGCAACCACCCCCCCCCCCCCCCCCATGTGCCCCCTGTGAAACGAGACTCGATGATTTCTTAAACTCCCTAGTTATTTTGTAACAACCCTAGGTTCGTTGCATACTAACTAGGGAGGTTGCAACGACCCTAGTTTCGTTACAACGTCCCGGAACGAGCAGTTATTTTGTAACGTCCCTAGGGTCGTTGCAAACAAACTGATCGTTCAGGGAGGTTACAACCACCCTAGGGTCGTTGCAAACTAACTGAAATCGCATACTCCCTGTAACATATTGCAATTAAAGGGACACTCCCACCTTAACATTAGTTTTGAGTTGAGATAGCCAAATTGGTGGCCATGGCCTGCAAATACCGGTTTGGGCACTCACAACATCGACAAATGCTTTAATTCGGAGATATGGAATTTCAAACTTGCAGTTTTCGGATTCTAAGGGGCTAGTGCATTGGTATGCCCTCTTAGAATTTGTGACGTCAGCGGAGATCTAACGATTTTTAAATCTTTTACTAGAACGTTTGGTAGCACGCGGTGGTATATGCTGCTTTGCGCGCAACAAACGCCGCACTTTCAAATAAAGTCGCTAGGAACAGCGGAGATCCCAAAAAGTAAACAAAAGTAAAAGTCTAATATCTTGAAAACCGGTGAATATTTTTCGATGAAATTTGGTAGATATTCGTTTTCGCTCTTTCTGAACCGAGCGACATCACTTTCGTGCCAATTCATTAACTTTTTTAAAGGTGGGAGGGTCCCTTTAAGTGACAAACCGCATGGATATGAACAACATTGCTTTTTGTTAAGACCATGCAATAACTGTATGATCAACAAAGTAAGATATTTCAAATGATTTTTGTTGCGTTTTCTCATGAATAAGTTCCATTTCGGCTCAAGAACAGCAAACTTTATTAATTATCAAAGTGGCAAGTTAGAACAGTAACGAAATCAGCAGAGCCCGGCAGGTTCAAGAGCCCGCGTCTCTACTCCCCTGTCAGCCTATTGCTCCCCCGGTGACGGGTCGGGGAGGTGGACGTTGACCGGTGACGGAGCGCAGCGCACACGTCACGGCCGGTCACCGAGACGGCGGACAATGGACGGCGGTCGGCGGGGCGGGCACACGTCACGGAGCGCCGGCCGGACGCGCCGGATACCGGCGGGACATGGTCAGCTCCCGGGCAGCAGCGAGCCGTCAGCACGGTCAACAAACGGTGACCGGCGCCGCGCCAGTGATCTGATTATGTAAATCGCACCGGGCCCGGCTGGTAAGTACAACACGCACTGATGTCAGCGAGCCGAGCCAGCCGCCAAGTACAGCCCTCCCGACACCTCGGAGAAGCACGACAGAAATGCGGGGATAAGGCGCCGGATCTAATGGGAACAGATGATGCAACACTCATCGGCTGTTTTGGAACGAAAATCAATACATCAGTATTTAAATACGACTTGTCTGTAGATCCAAGTATGAGTGGAGTCAAAAAAGCTGTTGCCAAAATTCGAGCATGATTTTAGAACTAACACTAAGGACGATCCCAAATCTAACACAAGAACAAGCAACGGGCAAAAAAGGCAAAAAAAGAACAGGGTCTACTAACCTAAAATTACTGGTTCCACTAAAGAAACGTCAATCTATTTGGCCATATGCGAGTCAAACACCGATTCAGAAACCAACGACAAACAGCGACAGAACTAAGTTATTTGGTGCCAGTCAGCGCTGATGAGGGGACTGTCGAGTGTCTGGGCTGCCCGGTCCAGTCCGTGCCGTCCCCAGTGACCGTGGGACCGGTGACGGTGCCCGCGGCCCGTCCGGCCGGCCAGCACACCAATCAGACCGACTGACAAACGGAGGGTGCCGCCGAGACGGCTCCCATCCCCACTGCACTGCCGCCGGTGGCCGGGAGCGACCACTGCAGCACGGCCCGGGCGCTCCGGCCGGCCGAACCGGGCTACGGCCGAAGACTGAGGGCTCGGCCGGGCGGGGAGAACGGCTGCCAGAGCCGCTTTGTACCGCTGAAGGAACGATGTCCTATAGCGTGGCCAGTGGAGCGTGTGCCACCATCACCGAGATAGCCAGCCTTTCTAGCACATACGGAATAGCTTTTGATATGATGAAAGTAAATGAGCATTGTGTGACGCTTAAACCTGGAAAGAAAATGCCAAGAATGTTATTTCCTGGAACCTGCTGCAAGATCTCATCTCGGTCAAGACCAAGGCAAAACTGCTGCAGCTGATTGATCCAGAAAATGTATTTAAGTTTGATTTGTGAATTACTTGCTTTCATAAAATGTCATGAATGCAATGGAAAGCCAACGCGAATATCGACTGACGGTTCAACGGAGGTCGAACACCAGGTGGGAAGTATCTAATGTTTTTATCTGCTTGCATCAATTATTCAATTCACACATGTAATGCGTCGCAGCGGTACAAGAATGGACGGAATCCCCTGCTAAGTATGAGCGATACTCATGAGTGACCTAGGCACCGCAGCATTAGAGATGCGCTGAACCTATAAAATTGGACCATGGGTGGGACCGTCAAGGTGCGTTCGTCCTTATTTATGCGTTATGGTATGTACTTACATACCTACATACTGTCTGGTTGTACCTGCTGGGCCCGTAGGTCGGTACCCACTGCTGTACCGGCCGGGCCCGCTGCGCTGGTCGGTAACTCGGTACTCACAGTTTGTTCTCGGAGCGGTGGTACTGCAAGATGTCGTTCAGGATGCGGTTCTTCAGGTCGGTGATGAGCTGGGTGACGCCACGCACGAACTCGTCCCGGTCCAGCCTGGGGCGAAATACAGACGTCAGAGCGGCGGCGCAGACAACAGAGACGTGAGAGCTGCAGAACAGAGACGTCAGAGCGGCGGCACAGAGACGGCAGTCGTCCGAGTTCAGTCTGGGTCGGGACAGGGACGTCAGCCATTTTACATAGTCCAGTCTGGGTCGGCACGGCAGGTCAGTCGTCCGAGTTCAGTCTGGGTCGGGACAGGGACGTCAGCCATTTTAGTCCAGTCTGGGTCGGCACGGGAGGTCAGTCGTCGGAGTTCAGTCTGGGTCGGGACAGGAAGTCAGTCGTCAGACTAATCCCGGCCCACTCTCTCTCTCGGGACGTAACAGGGATTTCCGCCGTCTAACTGACCAAATCATCGGAAATTGCCCGTGAACATTAAATTTGTACATACATAGGCAGAGTAAGCACAGTACGAATTAATATTAGCCAACGTATTAATTTGCCTTCTGACAGCATTTCGTAGAGATATTGATATAATTATCATAACCGATGCGATGGAGAAACGTCATGGGACGCTACACCGAGGCGGCCGAAGACCATCCGTGAGTTGTAAAATACTTACATGCAGTTGTCAAGTGAACAGCGATTCACTTGACAGCTACATCAGAACGGAATCAAAGATTTATGGCCACCTGACAGGTGAGAGCTCACTATCAGGACAATGAGTCACCATACAAATGACTGAGATTTCGTCTATTGGCATCTTTATCGTCTAGGAATTTTTCCTTTATCAAACGTAACGGCATGGGCTTGGACTGGTCATTGGACGCTGTCAAAGCAATTAGAACATGGCTCACTGGTTGAGTAGTAAAAGACAAGTATACATATTATGTATTATGTATGTATTATGAGACGCACACAACACATTGGGGTGGACGCGTTTCGTCGAGACTTCTTCAACACCCCTTCCGAAATGGAAGCAATACAAGCACACACAAGAATGTGTGTGCTTCTTGTGTGTGCTTGTATTGCTTCTATTTCGGAAGGGGTGTTGAAGAAGTCTCTCGACGGAACGCGTCCACCCGAATGTATTGTGTCCGTCTCATAGCTCACTGGGTAATGGCCAATGGGTAAGCTCATGTTTAGTTTCAAATGTCCATACTTATTCATAAAGTTATCCGTTTTGTTGAAATGCTTTATGTATAAAAATAAACACAGATGCAAGCAAATGACATCTTTTGAACCAAGGAGAGCGTCTTGAGACAAACAAACCCCGCGGGCGATGGACGCAGCGGACCTGTCGTGTCTCTGCCGCTGATGAGCGGGCTCCCGCCGACCGCCGCGCCGGCGGGCTGGAACGCTGCACCGTCCGGCGGTGGCCGGGGGGGGGGGGGGTCGGACCAGTGCAGAGCGGCCACACCGGATATTGGCTGCCGGCCGGAGGGTCAACACAACACCGCCAGCCAGTTCAGCCCCGGCCGACAGGACACACTGAACCACCGCCCGGAACAAACCGAACTGACCGCCACCCGGGCACACCGCCGCGTACTTACACAGGCTCGGACAGGGAATGGTGCCATACTCAGGTGACAGCACTGGCGGATCCAGCGGGGCATCTGTGGCATTTGTCCCTCCCACAGGTTCCGAAATGAGCGTTTTGTCGTTTGCTTCTTCGCCTTCTTCCCCTGTCCCGAACACTCTGCCCTCACCTGAACATGCTAGTGGACCATGCTCAAGTACTTAGCCCTCACCTGAACATGTCGAAGTACTCGATGGTCTCCATGCCGGCCAGTGAGTGGAGCAGCGGCTCGAAGCTGGCCACCAGTGCCGTCTGCTCCTCGAACGGGTGCTCCTCGGAGAGGAACTGGTCCACGCCGGCGCTGGCCTCCCCGCTCAGCAGGATGTTGTAGGTAGCCGCTGCCGGGCCAGAGGCAGACGGCACGGTCAGCGCGCCCCACACACGGCACAGAGGCGGCTGACAGTTGAACAGAGCGGCACAGAAGCAGGGCGGCTACTACTATGAATAATGTCGCCGGCGGCTGGAGACGGACAGCCCGCCTGGGACACTTACTCATCTGAGTGATAGATGGTGTGGTTGGTAGAGTGAGGGAGTCTGGCGGTCCCTGCGGACGGAGGAACCGGAGGCTGGGTGGTGCAGTGGGTCTGGACTGCAGCGGGGTCTGGACTGGAGCGGAGGGTCTGGTTTGGAGCGGAGAGTGCCCACGGACGTGAGAGGCTGGGTGGTGCAGTGGGTCTGGGTTGAATTGCGACAGAGGGTCTGCGTTACAGTGGAGAGTCTGACGGTCCTTGCGGACGGAAAGAGAAGAGTAGGCGGCTGTCATTATTCTTAGTCTTACCACTCTGCCGGCGCTGGGTAACAAAGCCACAATCGTGGCAAACACCAAGCGTTAGTAACTCGGGGAGAATGGAAATAAATGTTGGACGCCTTGATGTTCTTGATAACGCTCAGCTCAAACCGACCACGAGCATGTGTTCAGTGAGATTTCCGAGGAATGATAGCGCTGTAAGAAGCGTGATATATTATTAGGAAATGTAAAATCGAGCTTATCAGAGATACAAACCGCACATTTCTCCCAATGATCTGATATCAACAGGCTATAGTGTAGTCTCGTAATTCAGCGTCACCCACCAGTTAGATTTCAGACACAACAAAGGATCGACGGGATGCAGCGGCTCAAAGTGCTGAAACGTCCTGCAATCCGCACGAATAGAGTGCCTCGCAGTTTCGGATCGAAGAGCAAAGCTTTTGAGTAAATTCTAAATCCGACTGAAGAAAATGCTGAAGTTTCAATCAACGTGCTTTAAATACCAAGGACATATGGCAGTCCAATGTGTCGCAAAACACTAGCCAAAGTCTGTCCGTTGCTTTCTCGTGGCTACATTTCCTCGCAGGTGAATGTAAATGATACCGTATGTCAATGGTGCCACAAAGGGTCTCCATCGAGTCTCCGCTGCGCGGCGCCAGTGGCCGGACGCGCGCGGGGACGCTCCTGTCACCTCACCGGCTCCCCTTGGGTCCCGGTCCCGTTGGGCCGGCTGCGTGTTTGGACCTCATCCGCGTGAATGAGTGACTGAGTGACATTGAGTGAGTGATCAGACGCGACTGATTTATTGTGTCGTGACTGCGTGGCGTGACTTTGGGCGTGGAAGCGCATCTAGCGGCCTGCGTCGACTTACCGGAGGGAGGAGTGCTACCGGCGGATGATGCTCTGAACATACGGCGGCTCCGTGACGTGACGACTTTTTCAACACCCTGCACAGCACCACCATGCACCCAGATCTGCTGCACTGGCTGACTGTGCTGGCGGTGGCCAGGCTTCTGACGCTCGCCGCGCTGCCTGCCCCGGCCCCAGCGCGACTGGTCCGTGCGGAGCGCGCGGACAGAGCGGCCGAGTTTGACCCACTGGTCGAGCGAGTGACCGACACGCGGCCGCCCCGACCTCGCCCTGTGGCAGCGGCTCTCCCTGCTCCCCCGCGACCGGCGTTACCGCGCGGGACCGCCGCCGACCCTGACAGGCCGCCGGCCGCCGACAGGGGCCCGTCCAGGCCTACCCGGCGAGGGGTGTGCAGCCGGCGGCGCGGCTCCAGGGGCGGGCGGATCTGGAGAGCTGGAGAGCGGCCAGATCAGCTGTACATCGCCCAGCTTAACGTGCAGTCGGTGAAACCAAAACTGCTCGAACTGCGTGACGACATCGCGCAGCACAATTTTGACCTCATTGTATTATGTGAGACGTGGCTTAAGCCGGCCACACCCGATCGACTTTTACCGGTTCCCGGCTACCAGCTGCTGCGGAGAGACCGAGCTGACGGCAGGGGCTACGGCGGTGTCGCCGTTCTGGTGAGGGAGGGGATGGTGGCCACCGTGCTGGACGGACCTGACCGAGTCACAGCGGACTCCAGGCTAGAGTCGCTGTGGGTCCAGATCGGCACGGGCCCGCAGAAGGTAGTAATCTGCTCCCTCTACCGGCCGCCGGTGCAGACACAGGTCCGTGTCACCGCGGACCTCGACACACTGGAGCAGCAGCTGCAGCACCACATCACTCGCCACAGCGGACCGATCGTCATAGCCGGCGATATTAATATCAACACCGCGGACGGCGGCAGCGCTGCGGCTACCAGACTCCGAGAGCTGTTTACCGCCTACGCAGTGCACCAGCATATCGACGGGGCCACGTTCCGGTCATCAGGCTCCACCATCGATGTGATCGCAACGAATCGTGGTGTTGAGCGGGCCGGGACGCTGCACTGTCACTACAGTCCTCACAACTTGTGCCGTGCAGTGGTGCCGACCCCGGGCCGCCGACCGGAGCGGTGCACTCTGACAGGACGGAGCTGGCGCAAACTGGACACCGCCGAGGCGAGCCGCCGCCTGTGGGCTGTGGACTGGAGCCCTGTGTACCGCAGTGCTGACCCGGGCGAGCAGTGGGACTATTTTATCGCGGTGACTATGCCCATTATTGACAGTCTGGCCCCGGCCAGACGGTTCCGAGTGCGTAACCCGACGGCGCCCCCAGTGACGGAAGCCACAAAGGACCTAATGGCCCGGCGGCGGGCGGCGCTACGTGCCTCAGATCGTGCCTTGTATAAGGAACTGAACCGGCAGGTTAGGTCGGCCGTCCGCCGTGACACGCGAGAGGAGATCGACCGGCGCGTGCGGGAGAGCGGGCCGAGCTCCTTGTGGCGCAGTGTCCGGCCGGTCATCGCGGGGAAGCGGACGACCAAACCTTCACCGGACGCAGACACGGACGCAGTGAACCAGTAGGTACTTCGCCAGTATTGGGACCGCCACGGCCCGACAGGTGGACTCCGCGGGGCCCGAGCTGGCGGTGCGGCTGCCGCGCGTTTCCACCGGCCGTTTCCAGGTGTCACCCGTTACACCGGAACAACTGTCGCGTGTCGTTGGTAGGATGGCCAGCAGTACATCGTGTGGCGCTGACGGACTATGTATACGTTTTATCAAACAGTGTTTTGGCTCCATCTATCCCGTCATCACCCACATCGTCAACTCCAGCATCAACAGTCACAGCGTCCCTAGCTCATGGAAATTAGCCTTGATCCATCCCATCCAGAAATCACCCAAATCCACAGACGTAACCAACTTCCGCCCCATATCAATCCTTCCCACCATCGCCAAAATCACTGAACGCGTCGTTTACGAGCAGCTTTTTACCTATTTCACCTGTCATCATTTATTCTCGTCTAGTCAGCACGGTTTTAGGACGAACCATTCTACCGACACCGCACTTTTAGATGTTACAGACCGAGTGTTTGAGGCTATGGACCGTAAGGAAATCACACTTTTGTGTCTTTTAGATCTGTCCAAATGCTTTGACGTCGTACCGCACGCCGGACTTTTACGTAAACTCGAACTGTACAATGTCGACACGCGCTGGTTTGAGAGTTATTTGGCTGACCACCAGCAGCAGGTGGTAGCTGAGAGCCACTCTGGCTCTCGAACTCTGTCGGCGGCGCTGCCGAACCCCATCGGCACCTATCAGGGGACATCGCTCGGACCGCTCTTGTACAGCATCTATGCTAATGATATGTCGCTATTCGTTGATGACGCGAGCATCGTGCAGTACGCGGACGACACTCAGGTTCTCGTGGGCGGGAGGCCCGGAGACATTGGCGCCCTGATCGGATCCATGGAACGAAATTTGTCACTGCTCTCGAACTGGTTTGGCAAAAATGGTATGAAAATCAACGCTCAGAAAACTCAGCTCATTGTTCTCGGCACTCGTCAAAATCTCCGGCAGCTTCCAACAGTCAGCATCAACTTTATGGGCGCCACTGTCTCCGGCTCTCCCGCGGTGCGGAATCTGGGTGTCGTATTTGACCAATGTATGTCGTTTGCCGCCCATACCGATGATGTCGTCCGGCGCTGCACAGGTATTTTAATCGGATTGAGTCACTCTAGACATACTTTACCGCATTCGACGCTCACCACCCTAGTCCAAAGTCTAGTCATTTCGCTCATCCGCTATTGTATCAGTGTGTACGGCTCCTGCAATACCACTCAGCTCGCACGTCTGCAAAAGCTGCTGAATTTCTCAGCCCGTGTGATATCGGGGCGTCGGAAGTTTGATCATGTTAGTGACGTCCTGCGTGACCTGGGATGGCTGTCCGCGCGTGACATGTACTTATACCATGTGCTGACCCTATTGAAACGTATGCTGGTCACTGCGCAGCCCGAGTCAATCGCGAGTAGAATAGTGCATAGACGTGACGTACATCAGCGAGCCACAAGACAGATAGATATGCTACATGTGCCCAGAATCAAATCGGAGTCCGGGAGGAGACGATTCCTCTTTACCGCCGTGACAGCTTTTAATAGCCTACCACCGGCGATGTGTGACCTGAACCTGCGCGCGTTCAAGGCAGAGTTGCGCCGGCACTTGTTGCGACAACAGGCGGCCGACCGTTAGCAATACTTCATGACGACACGTTTGTGACAGAGTGACTGCGAACGAAAGTCTGTCTGTGTGCGTGCGTGCGTATGTTTTTCCCACGACACCCATCATTTTATATTGCGACCCTGGTTCAGGAATAGCCATTTTTGTGGAATGAGCCTACGATGTCAAATAAATAAATAAATAAATAAATAAATAAATAAATAAATAAATAAAGGGTTTCATCTACCCCAGGAACAAAAATACGACAGCACACTGAGAGCAAACGAGCGTGACAAACCCGGCGCGATGGCCATCACGGCGCCGCTGGCAACTTCGGCCGCACCGGGGCTAAACATGGCTCCAGCTGCCAAGAGCCACAGTCAGACTGGGCTGATCCTCAGAGAGGGACGGACGGACGGACGCTCTGGCGCCCGCCGTTGTCAGCTCTCCGTTCCCGCCGACGGACGGGTTTTTGTGCGCCGCGCCGGCTGTTGTTGCCAACCGAGGCTCGATGCCGGCCGGCGACACTGCCGACAGCGCTGGCTCTGTCGGAGGCCGGGCGATCTGCTATCGACAGGTGTGCAGTCTTCCCAGGACAGCCAATTCACTCTCCGGCAGTGGGACCACCAGTCAGAACCAATTGCATTTGGGACGCCGCGTAACAAACCGAATCATCGCTATCACACACCGGTCACTTACGGTGAAGGCCGTAGTTTTCATCCCGTCTCAACTGAAATACACGCATGAGTTAAAAGTCAGCCCTCCTCCTACGGTAGCTCTCCCTCTCCCCGAGCTGTACCGAGCTGGTGGGTACGGGGACCCGCAGTTGCTACTGTACACGAACCCCAACTTTAGCCGTCAGTGTCCTGTCCAGTAACAGTAGCGGCGGAAAACCTTCAATTAAGGGGGAGCACCACCGACTTTTGGTCTCATTCTTTCCATGCAACGCCCATAGAGCTAATGTTAAAATGCCAAAATCAAAGGGGGGCACGGTGCCCCAGTTCCCTCCCCGTTCCGCCGCCTATGTCCAGTAACAACAGATAACAATGATATCGACTGCCGGTCCCTATACAAGAGCAGCTGAGGTTTTCTGTGCGTGCCCTCTGACAGCTTATCGTTGTTCCCTGTGAGGGTGCTGGGACAATTTAATTTACTCAGGGTCGCTGTACAGTAGCAACTGCGGGTCCCCGTACCTCCCCCCCCCCCTCCCGGCTCCCTCCACCGAGCTGGTGGGTATCTCCCCTTCACCCACCGAGCTGGTGGCTCTGCCGCAGCGGCGCCTTGAACAGGTGCCGCACGTGTCTGCGCACCGTCTGGCGGGCGTTCTCGAGAAACACCTCGGGGATGTCGACCGTCAGGTAGCGCGAGCTGGCCTCGTCGCCGCGCAGAAACACCTCGATGGGCAGCGTCTGCTGCAGCGAGGCCGCCAACTGCGCGCACACACACAGACATACAGACACAGCAGTCACAAACAGACATGTGCATGGATCCGAGAAAATGGATCTGGGATCCGATCCCACCGATCCTGATCTCGGATTCGACATGATCATAGATCCAACTCTTTGATTTATCGAGAGATCCGTAGGGATTATAGAAACGAATCTTATTTTTTGTGCTTGCGGCGACCGAATTACATACAACGCGGGAAAAACTGCAAAAAGTGGGATAATTTGATCCGTCTGCTGACACAGACCTAAATTTGGTTCAATTAATTGATCAACTGCTGCGCCTATGAGTATACAGCGGTTCCACTGCTTCTGAACTCTGCCTAAAGCATCAAGGCGCTGTCTTAGCGATCATGGATGCAAAGAGTGCCCTGTTTGTCTGACAGCTCTAATATGCTTCCTAGGCCCCGTTGTGATGTGATGCATAGCAACCCAGCCTGTTTACTGGCGGGGAGACTCGAGAGACAGCGATAAAAAAGTTAGGAGTCAAGGTCACGGCCTGACTGCCCTCTGTCTAGGATAGCTTGTCCCGCAGCCGGGTGAGCCGCCAGCCTGCCCCGGGCAGAGGGAGGGACGATGGCTGACCTGGTCGATGGGGAACAGGGCGGCCTCCTCGATCTCGGCGTACGGCGGGTAAAAGGTGACCGTGTGTCCGTCCAGGATGAGGTCCACCTCTAGCAGCGGCAGCATGCTCGGCTGCTCAAACAGCTGCACGTACGCCGTCACTGTGCGCATCAGCACCGCGCGCAGCTGCCGGACATACGGACATCAGCACCGCGCGCAGCTGCCGGAGATACGGACATCAGCACCGCGCGCAGCTGCCGGAGATACGGACATCAGCACCGCGCGCAGCTGCCGGACACCTACGGACATCAGCACTGGACATCAGCACATACGGACATACGGACATCAGCACCGCGCGCCATACAGACGTAATGCACCACCGTAATGCGCAATACAGACGTAATGCACCACCGTACTGCGCAATACAGACGTATTGCCGGGATGGGACAATACAGACGTAAGCACCGCGCGCAGCTGCCGGAGCACACAATGGGTGTTCCAGCCGCCTCCAGGTAATAAGAGGCGGGCACATCTGGATCAACAGTATAACTAAGAGTTTACATATAATGAAAACTGACTGGAAAGTGTTGAAATCAGGTAGTAATCCCACGGCATTCTCATTTTGACGTTTCCATGTTCGATTTCCATTCTAATGATTGAAGTTTCATGTCCCACGAAGTTCAGTGTATTCTAATTGCTAGTTTGTATCACTAGGAAATTAGGAATAGACATTGAATCGCCACCTAATGTATAGGTATGATCAGACCCATAAAGCTAAACGGGTGTAGGGGAAGGTGGGGTAAGACGGACCAGCTAAGCTTTGAGGCCGCATATCTTGCTACACTGCTCTCGTAATTCATATTATTTATAGTCTTCGGAATGCTCAATCCTTTCTCTGTTGATATGTGTAATGACTAAATTTCAAATTAAAGACATCTAGGTGGTGGATGCTCTTAAAGAGGGACATGTCAAAAACTCAGACAAGAAAAAACGTGGGGTAAGACGGACCACCCAGCAGTGCCTGCTATCCGTTCATGTGTGTTACACTTCTGCTCTGTACTCTTGTAAGAAAAAGTAACCAGGATGATAAAATAACAAAATGAGCCTTTATTCTTTACTCATGTGTGATGGAAGTGCAGCTAAAAGCTGGGGACATGTGTGTTGATTGTCGTTTGGCATGAATGAATGCTAACTGAGCACTTGCATGCATGGCTCACATGCAGCAAAGACTCCTTCCTGAAAAATTAGCTTACTTAAACTTGTGTCAATGTTTTGGAAAAGAACTTTCCATATGCAGGGTACAATGGACCACCACAGGGTAAGATGGACCACAGTGGTCCGTCTTGCCCCAAATCTAAATTCTGTCATTATCATGACATATATGTCAAATAGCCCAACATTGCAAAACCTTGCCTTTCCTGAAGTGTGACTATAACTAAGTTTATAACTTTGTTCTTCACAGTTAAGTGCAAAATAGAAACTAATCATGCAAGAAAGGCGCCGTAATTGAATCACCCGTAGACCTCTTATATTATATCGGTTTGACGAAAAACAACATTTTTCTCAATAACTCAAAAGCTATGCATCCTAGCAGCATGAGCTCAAGGTGGCCATTGTTACGAAGGAAAACAAACATAGTGAGTGCATAAAGCAGTAGATACCAGTAGCGGTTCAGCCGGGAGGGCTGGTGGTCCGTCTTGCCCCGCTGGGCCGTCTTACTCCACCTTCCCCTAGTAAAGAAAAAAGTGAGTGCATATATACTACCTAGTTAGCGGTGTGCTGAATAATTGCGCAACCATACGTCGAGTACACTGTCCGTAATAAAACGTGCGTTTACTTTCATGTCTTGAGTTGCTGAAGGTTCGAAGCAAATCCCTTCCTTTTTATTCATGTTGTGAACATCGTGATAGCTCAATAACGTCTGAATTAAATCTAAGCGGCATATGCAGCAGGCAATCTGCACAGTCCGGCACGGTTTGTATTCTGGAGCCGTCGTGCGGCGTTCCAGGCAATTGGGCTCGGTGCGAGCGGCCGCCGGTCGGGAATTCGGCGCCGAGAAAACAGCCGCCGCTGCCGAGCCGACCCGGCGCGATAGGAGGCCGCTGGGTGACTGGCCAGCAGCGAGCGCTCCGCACAGGTCCGACGGCCGTCCCGCATCGGTTCGTCCGGTATTGGCCAGAGGTGGGAGAGCGATAACCGATCGAGAGCGGAGCCCGCTGTATAGAAGGCTATGAGCCCGCCGATTGTAAGTCACACAACAGGGTCACGTGCCTGGCCAGGACCGTTCTCGGAATAAGTACACATCTAGAGAATCGGGCTCACTAGGTGAAAAAATAGCAGTCAATTCCTTAACTGCAGCCACCAGCATTCCTCTACATGACACGATTATGCCCAACACAGCCATGCCATACTGTCAGCAACGTGAACCGGGAGCGTTCTATCGCAGCCGTTCCTCCAAACAAACCAAGGTAGTCAGCCAGCCGATCACCCATTCATTCGACATTGAATAAAAAACAGGAGCGCTTCGCAAAGAAAAGAGCTCACCAGCGCGCCATCATTTTTTATTCAGCAGTGGGCCAACTGCATTAAAAAGGCCCTCCGTCTATTTTTCGGTGGTTTCTGCCTTCTGAATTTAGGCAGCTTCGCAAGAGCGACGGCGAACGAAAAAAGAATTATGGAAATACAGCGACTGACTTTAATCCCAATGTCGCCGCGGTTTTACTAGGGAGTCAGCTTGTTCAGCATTCCGTCGCAGCCTTTCGTTTTGAGCCAGCCAGCCATCCGTGGTTCTAGTGCAGTGGTCCGGCGTAAGCAGTGAAATCCGAGCACAGCCAGCCAGCGACAAACGAGAGCAAATGTCCCTGGCGGTGCGGCGATGTTCGGATCAATGGGACACATTAGCCGTTTTCATGAAGGCTATCAGTTATACATCTGGTGCAAATTATGTGCAGATTTAATTTTATTCTCATTTTATCGTCACAATTGTTACTTAATTCGCCTGATAACCCGTCGTGAAAACGGTTATTATCAATGGAACGTGCTCTTGTATGTAGGAACTAGTCTGCTGAGCTTGTTACCAAACTTCAGGGAGGACATATGATGGAAAACATAGCTGCCTCACACGGAGTCATATCCGCCCGGGACCACGGCACGTATGTACCCGGACCCGGCGGTGCCCCCTGTCCCCTATCCCAAACATCCGTGTGTCCGTCCCAGTCGATAGTCCGGCTCATCTCCGGGTGACAGTCACCGATGAGCCTGTGGCCCGGCCGTCGTCACGCGATACAGCAATGCCCACCGCGTGGACAGTATTGGGTCGACGTTATAGAGACAGTTCTCTCCCTTTGGCACAAGATAGTGAAAATACAAGGCTGAACGTCTAGGCATTTAGTTTCGATTTTTTTCGTGCATATTGCGATAATGCTGCGTATTTGTGAAAACTGATTTTGGGTGTCAACTAAAAAATTCACCAGACCTTGTTCATTAACACGTCATTAGCTCGTTATACCCAATGTGTGAAGCTCCGTAATGGAGCACATAATCACGTGCATGCTACCAGCGCTTATCTCAGCTCGTGAGGACGCGGCGCCTAATCACCGTGGCGTGGCTCTGGTCGTGTGGGTGGCGGTGTATTCCAACTGTGTCGTGGCTCGGGTCGTGTGGGTGGCGGTGTATTTCGCCGTGCCGTGGCCGTCTGCCGTTTGTCCGTCCGCCGGCGGCGCGCACCCACCTCGTTAGCGGCCAGCGTGTTGGCGCAGAGGAAGATGCGCTGCTGGGCGCGCCGGCCGCCGCCGCCGGCCGACGCCACCGAGTTGAAGATGTCGACCAGCTGGCGGTACCAGGCGCGGTCCAGCCGCACCTGTTCCGACTCACACTGCTGCACCAGCGTCTCCTTCCACGAGTCGACGCTGAACTGGCGAGGGAACCTGCAGCGGCGGGGAAGGGAGTGTCAGCGGCGGAGACATTGGTAACGCCGCTGTCCTCCCCCCTCCCCCCCCCCCGTCAGTACTCACCTGAACTGGGTCCAGTCCAGCAGAGTCGTGTCCAGCAGCGTGGTGCGACACAGGCGCTGTCTCCCCCCCCCCCCCCCGCCAGTACCCACCTGAACTGGGTCCAGTCCAGCAGAGTCGTGTCCAGCAGCGTGGTGCGACACAGGCGCTGTCTCCCCCCCCCCCCCCCCGCCAGTACTCACCTGAACTGGGTCCAGTCCAGCAGAGTGGTGCGACACAGGCGCTGTCCCCCCCCCCCCCCGCCAGTACCCACCTGAACTGGGTCCAGTCCAGCAGAGTCGTGTCCAGCAGCGTGGTGCGACACAGGCGCTGTCTCCCCCCCCCCCCCGCCAGTACTCACCTGAACTGGGTCCAGTCCAGCAGAGTGGTGCGACACAGGCGCTGTCCCCCCCCCCCCCCCCCGTCAGTACTCACTCACCTGAACTGGGTCCAGTCCAGCAGAGTCGTGTCCAGCAGCGTGGTGCGACACAGGCGCTGTCCCCCTCCCCCTTCCCCCGTCAGTACTCACCTGAACTGGGTCCAGTCCAGCAGAGTCGTGTCCAGCAGCGTGGTGCGACACAGGCGCTGTCCCCCTCCCCCCGTCAGTACTCACTCACCTGAACTGGGTCCAGTCCAGCAGAGTCGTGTCCAGCAGCGTGGTGCGACACAGGCGCTGTCCTCCCCCCCCCCCCCGTCAGCACTCACCTGAACTGGGTCCAGTCCAGCAGAGTCGTGTCCAGCAGCGTGGTGCGACACAGGCGCTGTCTCCCCCCCCCCCCCCCGCCAGTACCCACCTGAACTGGGTCCAGTCCAGCAGAGTCGTGTCCAGCAGCGTGGTGCGACACAGGCGCTGTCTCCCCCCCCCCCCCCCCGCCAGTACTCACCTGAACTGGGTCCAGTCCAGCAGAGTGGTGCGACACAGGCGCTGTCCCCCCCCCCCCCCGCCAGTACCCACCTGAACTGGGTCCAGTCCAGCAGAGTCGTGTCCAGCAGCGTGGTGCGACACAGGCGCTGTCTCCCCCCCCCCCCCGCCAGTACTCACCTGAACTGGGTCCAGTCCAGCAGAGTGGTGCGACACAGGCGCTGTCCCCCCCCCCCCCCCGTCAGTACTCACTCACCTGAACTGGGTCCAGTCCAGCAGAGTCGTGTCCAGCAGCGTGGTGCGACACAGGCGCTGTCCCCCTCCCCCTTCCCCCGTCAGTACTCACCTGAACTGGGTCCAGTCCAGCAGAGTCGTGTCCAGCAGCGTGGTGCGACACAGGCGCTGTCCCCCTCCCCCCGTCAGTACTCACTCACCTGAACTGGGTCCAGTCCAGCAGAGTCGTGTCCAGCAGCGTGGTGCGACACAGGCGCTGTCCTCCCCCCCCCCCCCCCCCCCCGTCAGCACTCACCTGAACTGGGTCCAGTCCAGCAGAGTCGTGTCCAGCAGCGTGGTGCGACACAGGCGCTGTCCCCCTCCCCCCCCCCCCGCCAGTACTCACCTGAACTGGGTCCAGTCCAGCAGAGTCGTGTCCAGCAGCGTGGTGCGACACAGGCGCAGCGCCGCCTGCAGACTGGGCCGGGTCAGCATCAGGTGACGCCCGATCCGCTGGCGGGCCTCGGCGAACGACTCGAACCACGGCGAGAAGCCCACCCAGCTGCAGGCAGAGCCAGCGGGACAGAGTCAGAGCCGGGCAGAGCGGGACAGACAGAAAGGACAGACCCGCACAGATCCGGACAGACCGAGTCAGAGCCGGGCAGAGCGGGACAGACGGGGACAGACCCGCACAGATCCGGACAGACGGGGACGGACTCGGACAGCCCCGGTCAAACAAAGACAGAGCGAGTCAGAGCCGGCTGCAGAGTCGGGTGGACTTGAACAGACCCTCTCAGATCCGGACAAACTCTGACTGCCTCGGTAAGATCAGCTGGACAGAGACAAACTGTCAGACTCGGACTTACGGTCAGACCCGGTCAGACTCCGACGGACATGGTCAAAGACGATCAGACTGCTGATCTGAAGATATAAATAGTATATGCCGTAGCCCTGCGTGAGTGCTGTGCAGCGGAGCCAAACAGAGTGAGGTATAAGCGGACCTGCTACACCCGGAAGGTCAGAGACAAGCACGGCGCGCCGCGGCGGACCGGCACACTGGCGTGTGGCTGAATCCAGCCGCCATACGCGGTATTCGGCACCACACCGTGTGGGCCGAGAAGTCCTGTCGATTAGAGTTGCAAAATTTTCCCAATGGGCTGCTACCGGCACCGCCCCGCCCCACAAACATTTTGTGGGATACCGGCATGCTACCACGCCCCAAGCAAAAAAAACCGCCAAATTACCGGCATACTAAAAAACCTGCATTCTTGATTTTGGCTTACCCCTACATGAGATGCCACATTTTGGCAATTTCAGTAACCGCCCCACCCAACAGCCACCCATTGTCCAACTTATTACAATTCAATAGCCTCTTAGTGTCCAAAGTTTGAATCATATGCTGATAATTTTTTGTGCAAAATCAAAAATACCGGCATGCTACCGGCAAGACATGCCAGATACCACGAAAAAACCTGCGGTAGTGAAAAATTACCGGCATGCCGGTAGTGCGGTAGGGAAATTTTGCAACTCTACTGTCGATCGTGTGAGACGGCTTCCAGCAGCTGAACGTACACAGTGTGTTATCACAGTCAGGATATCTAAGCTCGATGGTTCTCAAACGATCCGGACCCTCCCACCTTAACATTAGATTTGAGTTGAGATAGCCAAAATGGGGTCCCTGGCTCACAATTACCGGTTTCGGCACTCACAACATCGAGAAATGCCTTAAATCGGAAATATTGAATTTCAAAATTGCAGCATTTTGATTCAGAGGGGCTAATGCTTAGGAATACCCCTCTGAATGTGTGACGTCAGCGCAAATATCTAACGATTTTTAAATGTTTGACTAAAACGTTTTGTAGCACGCGGTGGTATATGCTATTTGCGCGCAACATCTGCCGCAAACGCCGCACTTCTAAAATAAAGTCGCTAGAAACAGCGGAGATCCCAAAAAAAGTAAACAAAAGTAAAAGTCAAATATCTTGAAAACCGGTGAATATTTTTCGGTGAAATTTGGTAGATATTCGTTTTCGCTCTTTCTGAACCTAGCAACATCACTTTCATGCCAATTCATAAACTTTTTTGAAGGTGGGAGGGTCCCTTTAAGAACGGTATCGAGGAATGGTGCGTCATTCCTACCACGGATGCAACAGCCATTAGATACTGAGCAGGAAGCCACAGCAAATCCCCACGATTTTCATATCCCAGAAAACAAACCCGTCACTGCAAGTAGTCTGGAGTGGTAAATAGTGCCTAACAGGGTAGCCACTAACCGGTTTCTAATACCAGTTAGCACTATTCCCCGATATCCCGGTCCCTTCAAGTCAACCAGCTCGCGATCAGTAACTCAATTGTGACTGGCTAGTGGCTACGCAAGTAACTGCGGGATAGTCAGTGGAGCGTTTAGTACGAGTAAATTCATGATCCAAAAGCGGTGAAGGATACGTTTTAAAGTAAACAGCATATTAAGTGTCATCCATTCTTCAATATTAAAGATATACTGACAGGAGAACAATGTTTGTGATTGCATAATGTTTATGTAATGATCTTAATGTTTGTGATTGTATAATGTATAAAACAAAATAAATGATAATATAGGACAAATGAAACAAATAACGTCAGGTATCAGGGTCGTCGGCCGACCGCCACTCACGGCAGCTCGGCGTCCTTGGCGCGCGGCACGGGCGGCTCGACGGCCGGCTCCAGGTCGGGCACGGTGCGCACCACCAGGTCCTGGCGCAGCCGGGTGGTGAACTCCTGGCGTACCTCATCGACCAGCGCCGCCACGGCCGGACCGTACCGGCCGCTCAGCCGCGACGGGATCAGCTGGCACACACAGACGGACAGACAGACGGTCAGTGGGCAGAGGGGACGGTCAGCAGACAGAGAGGGGACGGTTAGCAGACAGGGGACGGTCAGCAGACAGACAGGGGACGGTCAGCAGACAGACAGACAGGGGACGGTCAGCTGACAGACAGGGGACGGTCAGCTGACAGACAGGGGACGGTCAGCTGACAGGGGACTTATGACAGGGGACGGTCAGCTGACAGATAGGGGACGGTCAGCTGGCACGATGCTTAGTGCCGTCCCTGTAATTATATATGGTCGCTCTCTGCAGGTGACCCGTCACCTTCTCTGGGACCATCGGCACCAAACATGGCTGCCAGAAAGGACCGCAGGCATGTCACACATAAGTGAGCAGGCTGGCACCCGTCGGTATCAATTATTTACACAATAATATCGGAAACTGTAGCGGCCACCCGGCCTGATTCCCTGCAGGGCTGGGAAAAATGCTGAATCTGCTACATACCAGATATTACGAGAAACTCTTTATTAGCTACATTGCCACAAATGTTCCTCACATCATTTCTGCTAGAGAAAATGATTTTACAAGTAATCAAAATTCTGGACAGAGCTTTCCACTTTAATTTTCTATCTATTCTCAAATTGAGCTTTGAACGTTTTTATTTAGTTGGTTGCACAAACAAAAACAGATACAGTGTTTTGCTTATGCCCCCTGTGAATGTTCTTTTTCTTACTTTTTACTCTTCGTAGGTAATCACTACTCAGGTTTAGAAAAAGCATACAAATATCAAAATAAGGTGCTGTAGGTCTTTCTCAGGGCAAGTTCCAGCACCACCTGAGAGCACCAGAGAGCTCCAATGAGCCCTAGAATTTTCCTATCAGCATTCCAGCAACTTCAGGATTCAGATGGTATCAACCTACTCAGACAGAAAGTATTTGAAAGAAATCAGGTTGATTTGGCTGCTGAGGCTGCTCAGTCTGGTCAACAATTTACAATCATTGTGCATGCCGAACCCGCTGTACAAAAGTTGCCAGTTGCCACAAATCAAGGTTTAGAGTTAATACAATAATTGAACATGCAAAGAAGTAAACAAAAAATTCTTTTCTGGGCGTTACTTGATCAATATTTCAATCAGATCTCACCTTCTGCGCAAATTCGATCATAGGTATCTCCCTATAATCTTCACACATCTTGCTTTGCGTGCTGGGCGACTACCATGCTCTTTAACTGTGTACTGCACGCCGCTTTAGGGACAGTTGTCATTGCAACACTTGAAATTAGGCCTGGAATATCGCACTTTCCTAAAATAGAGGCAAAAATAGCTGAAATAATTCAAAAACACCCAGGAACACTCATCAAACTCAACTGAACGAACTGAACTATCCACGCGAAACGACAACTAGAATTGTCTCTAATGCGCCAGAAACAATGCATCAACAAAATACACAAAGAGGAATGACGTAATTTGTATATTTTTTACAAGATGTCTTAACAAGACTTATCAAAAATGTTTATTATTTCTTTAAAACTCTAATTTAGTTTATATAAGTATGATTTTAACAATAAAATACCTTAAAAACTGAATAAAATTGTGTATGACGTCATCAAAAAGGATTAAAGACGTTGCCGGACACTGTATCATAAAAGATGGCTTTTTAGAGATGCCATGGGCAGAATGAGTTGATTCTTTTCGTATTTTTATTGATCATTGAACAATGCCCTTTTAAAAACAATTTGTTTTGTTTCGTAAATATGTTATTTGAATATTTCACAAATAATGAAACTCCTTTTTGCAATATTCATAAGAAAGATAGCGCATAAAAAGGCGTAGCAGATACCTTTTCTTACACGACTCAGAGTATGAAGAATTAGTGATGCTAAAATGGAAACTGCTACAAAGAGCCGCCAGATTCGTCATAAAATGGAGCACAAAGCTGACGTTTTGAACTTGTGTTAGTCTTACAGATGTTTTGTTCTTATTCGCCCACGAGATCACTGGCTGGTGGTACCTCTATTTTAAAAATGTGCGAATTTTATGTTTTTATTGTATTTTTCTTTATGATGTACGGAAGAGAGAAATGTTGATTTTGCTACAATTGATGGAACAATGAAGCGATATCTGCTACCTACTGGGGTATGAAGGTATGAGAGATTTCCCAGCCCTGATTCCCTGACATGTCGGTCGAGCTGCACAAGCCACCGACACAGACTGGGCCGCTGGCACGCAGCACGGTGACGCCCGCGTGTCATCCACGGAAGCCTGCACGTGCCTAGTGATGACCGCCCGGCGCACAGTCCTGCTCGCGGTCTCCGCCGCTTACCACACGGTCCGCCACGCCTCCTATCATATCGTGTCATATGCGCCAAACACTGCGACCGTCAGCCCCCGAACACCACCAGACGTGGCGGCACACCGGCTCTGGGGCGCCGGACGTGAACCCCGCTGCATCATTGATGTCCGTGTGAGTCGGCAGTGGCGCTGGTCAGGCGCGCTGTGTAGCGCCGCAGTGCGGTCAGGGCCAGTGTGGTGAGCGGGGGCCGCCGGTGACCGTCATACCGCCGCCGGGAGTCACACAGGGAGATGGTCGCTGCAGGGACCGGCCGCACGGGCACGGAGCGGTGATGGTCGCTGATTGGGCCGGCACCCCGCGCGGCGCCCGACGCCGGCCATGCCGCTCGGCAGACTGCCGTGTGTGCGCCTGCTGGCCGCCAGGGCCGGGCTGCCGCCGTGGCGCGCCGGCCTGCTGCTGACGCTGCTCTGCGCCGTGGCCGTCACCAGCTCTGTGCTGTTCTACCTGCAGCAGACCAGGGGCCCTCTGGACGGCCCGCCCAGCCGCGAGCCGCCGGAGCCCGCAGACTCCTGGATCACACTGCGGACCAGCGCGGCGCCGCGGAAGACGGTGCTGCTCTACACGCCACTGCAGGGGACGTTCGCCAACTGGCGGCGCCGGTTCGGTGACGGATTCGACGGGTGTCAGTGGTCGCGCTGCGAGCTGACCACGGACCGGGCGGCGCTGGGGCGCGCCGATGCCGTGCTGTTCTCGCTGTACGACATGTCGCCGGACGAGGAGCTGCCACCGGCGGCGGCCGGCCAGCTGTGGCTGCTGCACGAGCGCGAGGCGCCGCCGGCGCTGGGCCGCCGCCACCCGTACCGGCTGCAGGCGGCCATCGCGGGCCGCTTCCACTGGGCGCTGTCGTACCACCGCGAGGCCGACATCGCGGTGCCGTACGGCGCCGTGCTGCCGCTGGCCGAGCGGCCGCCGCCGGGCGCCGACCGGTGGCGGGCGCCGGCGGCGGCTCCCGGCCGGCCAGAGACGGCCGCCCGCCGCGCCGCCGAGGAGCACCGGCTGCGCCAGCAGTGGCGGCGCGCGCTCGGCAACCGGACCGCGCCCGTCGTCTGGGTCAGCTCCCACTGCCGCACCGACAGCCGCCGGGAGACCTACGTCGAGCAACTGCAGCAGCACATCGACATCGACATCTACGGCCAGTGAGTGTCCGGCGTGACGCAAACTGCGCTACATAGAGCAACGGTTTCCTTGTCCATTTATCGCGCTTCTACGCACAATGTTTTATCTTCAGACATATGTACATACGTGGATGAAAAACCGCAATGTCGCATTCATGTGAAATGAATGAATGAATGAATGAATGAATGAATTTATGATGAATCCATTCATCGTCACTTTCAAATAGGCATCGCAATGTCTTATCTCGCAGTTTTCTTCATTTTCCATCGTTGAAGACTGCGTCACTATCGTTCCTTGTGTTTCAGGTGCGGTAACCTGAGTTGTCCGCTCAGCAAGAAAGGCCTCTGCATGCGGCTGTTTGCGCAGCACTACACCTTCATGCTGGCCTTCGAGAACGCCCTGTGCGATGACTATGTGACGGAGAAGTTTTTCGGCGCGCTGCAGCACGGCCTGGTGCCGGTGGTGCTCGGCGGCGCCGACTACAGCCGCCTGGCGCCCGACGACAGTTTCGTGGACGCGCGCCGGTTCGCCGGCCCGGCCGCGCTGGCCGCCCACCTGCAGCACCTACTGGGCCGGCCGGCAGAGCTGGAGCGGCTGCGCGCCTGGCGCACACACTACCGCGTCTACAGCGGGCCGCGCCAGCTCAGCTGGTGGCCGTGCGAGCTGTGCCGCCGGCTGCACGACCGGCGCGCGCGCGTGCGTCGCCGAGACCCGTACCGGGCGCTGGCCGACCCGCGGCAGTGCCACGGCTCCTGGGAGCGCGCCACCGCCCCCAGCGGCGGCCAGCGCCACACACAACAGGACCCCGGTCAGTGAGAGGGTCACCCACAGCGCCACCGTCCCCAGCGACGGCCAGCGCCACACACAACAGGACCCCGGTCAGTGAGAGCGCGCCATCACCCACAGCGACGGACCGGGCGAAACGAAACAGGACCACGACCGGGGAACGGGCGGGTCGCTCTATCACCAGTGACCATAAGGTTACGTTGAACGGTACTGTCACAGCGTCACGCTTTTCTTGGTGCTCAATCCGATTTCCCTGGGAAAATTGCTTGCGGGCACTCAGTGGTACCTATGTTTAATAGAGCTGTGGCCAAAATGCGGCGAAACATTACCAAGTTGCGTCTACTGTGTCAATTTAGGTGTATTAATAAGAATATGATTGTTTGTTTCACCTGAATCGTACGGTTGCAAATAACAGTCTTTATTGAAAAATTAGGAAGGTACGTTTATCAATTGAGATGCCCCTGCATATCTGCTGACGACAAGTTTATCGATCTTCCAGGCTGAATGGTGTTACTTACATTTTCATTCTGATGTACTGACATTCGATAAGTCTCGTTGTAAAAATATTATTGATAGAAGAGGATTGTCAGAGTGTCGCTCGACCATTGTGGCACCGGAGTCCGGACGAACGCCGACAGAGAAGCTGACCAGTCGGCGCGGCAGCAGCGTCTGCCTTCACCGGGCATTTGTTTTGTTTTGTTGGGTTAGGCCCTTTCGGTCCAATGAGACCATTTCAGAGCAGGGAGGATGATAGGATATAGGGGGAG